CCATTCCCGCTTAACAGCCAGTAAGTGATGGTACTGATGAAGAAGTTGAGAAGAAAGTAGTAGTGATGACACAGAGTGCTGAGCATGAACGGCCATGTCAACGACGAAGGCGACGACGACATGGACGAGGAGCACGACGACGACGACTACGACGACGGGCGCAGCAGTCGTCGCAGTGCGTAATCCAGATACTTGAAGTCATTGTAGTTCTTGCTATTGTCGTCATAGTGGTAGTCGTGGTGGTTGTGGCGGCCGTGACGCTAGTGAACAAGGCGAGGGACAAGCAGCAAGCATTGACAACACATGACAGTGCTGCAGTTCCGGAACTCGCCAGGCCTTGATGGTTGCCCTGTCGGATGTGACGCCAGAGCTGCTTGATCGACAGTGGCTCAGAACGCAGGTGCGATCCCTGAGCACCAGGCTGCAGAGACACAAGGAGTTTGGGGATTGCCCATGAACAGGGCCCTACTGTAACCCGCATCAAAGAAGCACTCTGAACGTTTCAACCCTCATCACCCTAATCCTAAACCCCGGAATTCCAACATACTTCTGCGGGCAACGTGTTTCGCTCTCCTTCGCTCCAACTTTGGTGAGCCATCATCCCAGACCAGTACCTGACATTTTTTGCTTCTTCTTCTTCTAAGGCTATGACTATAATCCTTCTGTCTGTTTATTTCGTATTTTGATTGTGCCTGTGGCTGCATGTTCTTCGATGGACATGAGCATCGCGCAGCGGCTTGGCCCAAAGCCCGGGATGAGTAGGTCTTCCCAAGCACTGCTTGGTTCCGTGCGACTCAGCTTGCATAAGTGTGAAGCCTAAGCAGGTCTTTTGCCAGAGTTTTCAACTATGCGAGGCTTGTCAATCTCTGGCTGACCAGAAGAGGAGAAAGGTACTGAAATCGACGGCAACGATAATGCTGGCCACAATAGCTTCCCGTGATGTCTACGGCAGTCATCACACATGAGCAGGAGTGTCATGGTGGTAAGCACGCCAATGACGCTGGAAGTATGTTAAGTTGACATAACACTTCAGCATCATGGTAATAGTAATACTGTAGTAATACTGCGCCATGGAGACGGATCATCGTGGCAGTGCTAGTGGTGACAGCCTTGACTCTCACCACCATGTAACGCAGATCACAATAAAACGGATAATGCGACCACGAAGCCAAACATATGACGTTGGTGGTGACACTGGCGATCTGACGATGGAGAAACTCAGATGAAGATAGGCGATGGTGATGATGATGAGGATGATGGTATTGAGAATGGTGGTGATTATGGTGATGATGATGAGACGATGACACTGTTCGTGGTGCCGCTGGTGCTCACCGATTGTTGCGACAGGGATGTTCTGCTGCTGGTGCTGCCCATGAAGATAGATGTTGTTTGACACATTCGTGATGATTGTGATCATCATGATCATCATGAGGTTGATGGTGTTGATGCCACCAGTGATCTCACGGAATTCAAACAACAACAGCAACACCGACAGATTGCAGCGGCAGGCACCACCGCCGCCCCCAGCAGCAACAGCAGCAACAGCAGCAGCAGCAGCAGCGGGCAGCAGCAGCCACAGCCGCAGCAGCAGCGGCAGCAGTGGCAGCAGCAACAGGAACAGCAACAGCAACAACACCAACAGCAGCAGCCGGGGCGCCGTCAAACGATGCCGTCAGACGAACACCACTTTAGGCCACGGCTTGGTTTTGTTATGCGAGCATGCACTGCTTGCAATATGTACTAAGCACTTCCGTCCTCGCCTAAGTCCTCAACCGCGAAGAGAGCCGGAGGTTTTTCGCTCAGACGCGCTGATGGCAGTCGGCGACAAGGCGGGCCAACACAGCAGCCCCGGACGCAGAAGGGAGATAAGCTGGCAAGAGAGCATGCAATCCATGAATGGCTGGAAGCCTTACAAAGGCGCTGAGAGTCTTCGTAAGCCCAGGTTGGGGATGCATTAAATTAATAGGCAGGTAAGTCTCCACTTTGAGGATGCAGATTCGGCTGTCCACGAGGTCCGAAATCCGAGCACCCTGAAATCCTGGTTCACAGACTTTTTTGCTTCGCTCTTAAAGCCCTCTTTTGCTTCTGCTTGGTAGGTGCTGCTCTTCCTGGTGTCTCTGTGGCAGGCAGGGACTTTCGCGGGATAATGTTGCGAGGTCGCTTCGGATGAGCCGTTGCCGCGTTTCAGCCAAGCTGATTCAAGTGATTTTATGATCGTTATGTGATGTTCAGGGAGAATGCAGAGACTTCTGCCCACATGCATGAACATGAAGTGTAGAGGTTTAGCACCGTTGCTAGCGCTGCATGGTGCTTACAGCCTGAACTCCATAGCTGATCCACGCAATACCTATGTCCTCTAGGTATGTCGCAAGCTCCCCAGCCACAGTTATGCCAGGCGAGACACGAGTAAAATCTGGAAGCGCACGCACCAAAGCCGTGCCGCCATGCCCCGATTGCATTCATTCTCGTGTTGTCTTGCTCGTGTCATGCGACCCCGTAATCCTCCGCAGGCTTCTGTCGGGCCTGTATTACTCATCATGTTGCTCATCCTTTTTTCATGTGTTTTTCTCGTTCGCTTATTGTTCCTCTTTGCTCAATGCAATGCATTCGTTGCACCGGGAGTGCCATGCGTGGACAAGCCCCAGTTCGGAGTCCATGCATCGTTGGCGCCAGGCGGCTTCGATTTCCACAGATACCAGGCATGCCGAGGTCGAATCCTCTGGCAGCGTTCACGTGAAGGAGCCTGGGACGGAAAGTTGGGAGCAGAAGCAGCGGCGGCGGCAGCAGCAGTAGCAGCAGGAGCAGTCTCTATCTGTCGTATTTCAGTAGTCCACTGGCTGAACAGCCAAGAAGGACAGGCTGTGAACTATCTGATCCACAATGTAAATTGTCGCGGTCCCGTCCCACATCGGATCTAGTTTTTGGATTTCTTTGGCTTCCGTGCTAGAATCTGCTAGAACAGTTTGCTTGATCCTGAAGCAGTAGCTCATGAAGTTAACTCAGCCGTGAACTCCAGCAGCGCTCAGCGCTGTTTTTTTCGGAGCAGTGTGGAGTCTGTCTGGGGCCCTGGGTTTCAAACAGTTGCAAGCCTGGCAGGCGATTCCAAACAGGAATGAATGCCATAGACCTCTGAGACTGAGAGCCCTAATCGAGAAGCCCTTCAAAGCCCAGGCAGCTGGTCACCAGATGTCGCACCTCGGTAAAACGTCCTTCAAGTGCTCAGGGCTGTGACTAGCAACGAGTCTTCGAAGGGCCGAAGGAGCGTTGCAGATGCATTTTTTCTGAAGAAACTTAAAGGGGGGGGTTGTGGAGGGGCTGCTAGTGCCCTGTGCAGCTCGCAAGGGCCAGAGACAGTTGGGTATGTTTCGGGATATCAGGTTTGGCTTAGCGCTATCTGAACTTCGTTTCTTGCTTCTGCTTCGAGGAGTAGTCGTCAAAGAAAACTTGCTGCAGATCGGGTTTCTGAGCCGTAGACGTGATAAACATGTATAGTTTCATCGGCTGAAGCTCATCGGCTGATGCCAAGCTCCTAGCACCGCAAATTCCCAACCGTTGCTCCGTTCTCAGAGGCACCGCCGTTCTGCCGAGGGGGTGACGGTGGTGGACTGTCGCGCAGTGCCCACCTGAGAGTCCAGTTGGGGTGAATCGAATGAGGATTTGATTTGGGTATATTTGGGTTTACACATACATAAATGTATAGGCACATGCCTCCGCAGCAATACACGTGGAATGGCATACACAACAGAATGAGATGATCCCTCAGAGGTATGCTAGACACAGAGGAATGACGTAGCACGAAAAGTGAAATGGAAGATCAACGAAGATGAAAACTATCCCAAGCTGCCCACGCCGGGCCCATGCAGGGCGGATACATGCAGGTACGATTGCCTGGGTGTGAGGGAGAGCTTCGTTGGGCGGAGCTCGTCCACAACCCTTCCGCCCCCCCTGCAAGACAAGAAAAACGAAACGGGGCGTGACCCGCCTGAGCCCATAAACTACAGCAGTTCACACACACACACACGCACCAACACACGCGCACAGACAGAGACACAGACCGAGACACACCCACCACACACGCACACATGCACACACGCACACACACACACACACACACACACACACACACAGACACGCAGATACGCACACCCGCACACCCGCACACCCACACACCCACACACCCACACACCCACACACCCCCACACACACACACACGCACACACGCACACAAAGCTCACGTAGTCTGTGTTGGTATGCAGCACTCGGAGCCAGCATCCACCACAGCGACCCTGGATGCCTTGCGCCTGGGCCCATTTGTGCCACAAGCCCGGCCGGCACTGAGGATGAAAAGCACGAGTGCCTTGGCTGCTTTGACGATTTTGGCGAGGCAGCCCTATATTCTCCCTTCATGGTTGTTCTTTCGAACCTTTTGCGCACGTCTGTTAGTTTCCATGCGAAGTTGAGATAGTTTGTCTCCCACACGATGTTCGTCACAACTTTTTTTGTTTATCATTCAAGTTGTCGTCTTCTTGCCGCCTCTTGCACACCACTCGTGTTTCTTCGGTTGTGATCACATCGGCAGCAAGTACGGGCACTGAAGCAAGAAGAGCATTTTTTGTTGTATCCTATCTTCTACAAGTATTGAGCAGCGAAGACATGTTCACAGAAGTTGGTCTGGCTTTCGTTTCCTTTCCCTTTGCGCAGCGCTTCTGCACTCGAGGTTCACTTTTCGAGACGATCGATTCCTCAGTGATATAACTGCTGGCGACTGTGCGCAGAGCAAGACGAGCTGCGAAGATCGCTGGTGCCCGACGATCTATCAAAAAGACAACAAGGCCGAGCCCTAGTCGTACAAACCCTTTCAGAGGTAGGTGCAAGATCCATTGGGTTCATAGGGTCGCTCTAACGGGCAGTCGTGCGAAAGCTGGTCAACCCACGGCCGTGTTCCTGCGCTGCGACCCTATCGAGGCTTGTGCTGTGGACCTGACACGAGAGTGCGGATTCGATTGCAGCTCTCGAAAGGCAACAGGTAGCTGCGTGACGCTCAGTTGTCCAGTCTGCACATGACTTAGGCTCTAGCCTCAAGGTCAAGGCGCCGTTGCAATCCGTAATTACCTCTTAGGGAGGGTCCTAATTCAGCAGTTGTGTCAGTTACATTCAGGTGCCGCGCTGCCTTGGAAAGATTGCGAGACGGCCGCCAGCCTACGTACAAATCGACTCGTTGCCTTTGCCAGTGTGATTTGCGAGACGCTAGGCCAGAGTTCACCTTGATGAGGCCTGCAAGGCCACGGAAGTCGAGGGCGAGTCCTGCTTCGCCCCCTGCAAGTGGCACTCGGCAGATGAGGTTTGCTACGCAGGAGGCAGGGAGATCCTTCAGCAGCTACACTAGCTGCAGCAGCAGCCGAAGCAGCAACCACGACGATCGACAATGCCAACGGCGACTACTACTGCTGCTACTGC